TAAATTTTGAATAGAATTCAAAGCTATTGGCATTGTTCCTTAGAATTTTTCAGCTTAGTTTCCCTGTTGTCATTGGTGATAGATGGAGGGCTGGCAAGGAACAGTGTTTAGTCGTTTGGATTGGGCAAAAAACAAGTTCCCAAGTAAATGCTTGCCATAAAAGAACCCTTGACAGATGGAGTTCGGTGAAGAGTAGGCAGCCATGCCGCTGTCTGGGCAAAATGCCCTTCATAGCACACTGCCCTTCATTAGAATGATTAGTGCAGAAAAGTAGGACATTCAACTCCTATTTGATTATGTGTACTTACTACTTATATATAGGAAGTGTTTCTAATATTGCATAGTTATCTGGAAATTTCATTTAATATCAACTCAAAATACAAGTGAATTGATTTATCATACATTTAAGAAAATTTGTTAAGAACTCTTTACAATATTCATCACATGCGAAATTATTGATTAACGGAACATTATTGAGGAATAAGTTGAGAATTAAATATAAGAATGGTTGTCAAACAATTATTCATGCTCCATTTCATATTCAAGAAGTTTTCTTTTAAATGAAACTTTACTTCCTTGAAGAAGGAAAAGTGTTTTCATTGATTTGCCCAGTATAAATGATAAGTTACATTAGCACTTAACATTATAATTTCTGCATAAATAAAACAACTCAAAAAAATAATTTTCTAAGATGAGTATTGAGTCAAATTTAAAGATGCATTATGTAAGAGCTAAATCTGCCTATTCCAGGTATTATTTTTGGCTCCAAATGTTGTATAAATTATCAATAAGGCATTTATTTACATGACAAGGCCATAATTGACTCTCTAGATCATCAGATTGTCATGATATTGAATAGATTAAAACACAATCACCATTTGATAATTTGACGTAAAAATGGATAATCAAGACTTTGTTTATTATCGTAGCAATGGTACTTGACATTTGAAACTATATTGTCAAAACTTCAAACACTCATGACTTTCCTCAGGAAAAAGTAATTTGATTGAAATTTTCAATATATTCATTTTTCATTATCGAAAATTCCCTCATAGCACATACTGAATGGCATATGCTGGTCTTCATTAGCCCAGTCATTGCAAAAAAGTAGAATGTTAAACTACAGACATCCTCAATTATTGATTCACAATATATGGATAGACATATATTATACGAAATGCAGGCGTAATACGGGAAAAGAAAACATTTCTCCATATTGATAATTAGAGATTATATCGTTAAAGGTGTAGTCAAAGATTACAGGGGTTTAATCCTTGGTCCAATACAGTTAAGTGACGTCAAGTGCCTGGATGACCGTATTGACTATAATGTTACATTATTTGACGTCCAAAGACCTTAATGTCGGCATAAAAAAATGCAGGACTATTGGGTTGCTTTAACTGTGAACAGTAAGAAAGCTCCAGCAGAGATGATCAAAGGCTCACTGTTCGCGTAAAAAGTAAGTGCTTTCTTTCTGCGAAATAAAATCAATTTATTTGTTGCAATAGAATCAATGGAGTTGATTAAATAAATGCTGGTATAATTATATAGTTATTTTTCTAGGACAATATTGAAATTTCATCCAGGGCCTGAAGTAATGCTTTTAGTTGTACCTGACAACACGTTAAGACATCATTGTACACACAGTGAACAATCAACTTCGGGAATAGATTTCTGCCCTGAATGTTTGCTGTATCCAAAAATTAGTATATTATTTTGCAATGCGTTTGACATCTGTCATGCACAAAAAGACTAAATAAACATTTTCAGTTGTATTGAATGGAAGTGGAATAAATGTTTCTCAAAATTCTTGAAGTATACTTAATGTTTTTGTCGATTTAAAACTTAAAATGTTAGTCAACTAGTTTAGTGCCTGTTCTCAAGTGGAGCTGTAGAATGACAGTGTAAGTTTAGTATGGTCAGACCCCTGAGGGACCTGACCATAGAGACTTTATACTAGGGCTGGCAATCGATACCAATTTTGCATATCGATGTCAGCTATCATTTCGGCAATAACGATATATCGGAAAATTTGAAGTTGAAAGAAATAACTCAATAACTGCTTTTAAGCTACTAATGTTACGATCCTCGAACTATCTTTTCTTAATGTTTGTTTCGTTCACAAATTATCTGATGGCTCGCCATCATCCACTGTAGACAATTTTCCTCGGTCGTTTAAAACGCTAAATAAATTACTATTAAAATGGACCTTGTGGGTTTTCTCCGGGTCCTCCGGGTTCCTCCCACCGCTAAAGACCCCTACGCGCAAGTGAATTATTGAAATAAACTTAAACCATGTTAGTCCTGAAATGACCTAGTTTGTGTTGAGTGGATGTTAAACCCCATTTCTCTCTCTCTCTATTAAAATGGAGTTATTTCCCCTGAACAATTAATTAATTATTTATTCATTATTGTAAGTGACTGCGAAAAGTACTGGCTCGATGGTTATACCTTAGTGCGCATGTTTTTAGTTTTAGCGTGTTTTGAATGATCTAACGGTGAATATTTGATGCCAAACATTCCTTTTAATTTTATTGAAGCTCCTTTATTTTTTATATGAATATATCCATATCGAGAATTGAATATCGATATTGATATTTTCCAATAGTTGCCGATGATTATCAGCTATATCAATATTTTTCACCACTCTTACTTTATGCTCCACATGCATTAATAATATCAACAAAAATACAGAAAAAGACAAATCTGTGGCATACAAAATGACAGACTGCAGAGGGATTGTGTCTGCCAGAGCCTGACATTGTCACCTGCCGTCTGTTTGTCTTTAGGTCGGTTGTTTCCAATTGCTCGTTGCATTCTACATGCTATAGTTATCATCTGATTGATTTGAAAATTGTACACACTGTTTCTAATCATGAAACGATTCCCGATAACTACTTTCAGAGTTTTTGCCCTTTGTCCCATTGAAAATTCTTGTGAATCCTCAGGAGGATAAGGTTATTATCAATCAGATTATCGGGACCTGTTTTTTTTTTTATCTTAGCACAAGGAAGAACTAAATTTTAATTATTTCTAATAATTACTTCATTCATTAGTTGTTGCCCTTGATTTAGTGTCTTATAAGTGCACCAATTACCTACTAAAGAACAAAGGGGTTGGGATGACTCGTGAGTATTGCACATAGAGCTCTAGCTTGGTGATCCCCCCTGGTGTGAGCTTATGTGACTTGGAGGTAGGGACACCTTCTCAACCCTGTGGTTTTACTCTGGGTACTCCAGTTTCCTCCCACAAGAAAGATCCCAGGGCATGGGTGAATATACTTAAATAATATTTTTCTTGGATAAATCACCCTCGGTGGAAGTGGACATTAAACCCCACGAAAAACAGCAACATTTATGGATTGCTTGAATGGTTTATGTTTTATTTAATGTTAACCTACCTCTAAAATATGTATATGTTGTCATAACAGAATTTATTTTGGGTAACACCTTGTTTGAGTGTGAGGAGAGTGGGTCAAATTCAATTGATTGTTTTCAAGCAAGTAATGGTTGTTCTATTTCTTGTATTGTTCCTATTTATATATAGATGTACCAGATGTAAACAAAATATTCACATGACTTGTCTTAAAACATTCATAATAACTGACAACAGGTGGTCACGTTTGTTACATCGTTTTTATTCTTTCATATTAAACATTTAATATTAAATAATAACTGATATGAATTATGCATCGGGTTATATTTTGAAAGGAGATAGTCAGATTTAGTGTGGTTTATGATAAACATTGACTTTTGTTGTCACCTTGGTTTCGGGGAAAGCAGGGGATTATTGAAGCAGGTTTGTCTGTCACACTTTTTGGAAGACAATAACTCTGCTTCTAATTGAGGTAGGATGTTCAACCTGGGTGTAAATGTTCTTTAGGTGTATGTCGTGGCTAAGTTCATTCGTATGCATTTCTTCTTATTGCTTCTTAAGACAAGCAGAGATAAGCAATCTGATTTGCCAATGCTTTGGGACATGATAACTCTGCTTCTAATTCAGGTAGAATGTTCAAACTTGTTGTAGACAAAGCAACTATCCATCTGTCTGTCACACTTTTTGGAAGAAAATAATACTGATTCTGATTCAGGTAGAATGTTCAAACTTCGTGTAGATGTTCATTGGGTGACTACCTTGACGGTGTTCAGTAATGAGCCACCATCTTACTTATTGCAAAGGTTTTAGGACTAGTTCATTTTGTAGGACTTTCTAGAGAGCACTGTTGAGTGCCTCTTGAAATGATCATTTAAATTTAGAGATAATGTGTATATGTTTATTCGTGAACTGTGAAATATCCCTCATAGTTTAAATTTATTTTATAATCATTCACAGATACATGTTTATCAGATGTCTTAATAAAAAAAACCACATCTTTGAAATAAACCTCTCATCAGTGGTAAATAGAGAAATGATTTTGATGATGATAGTCTTCATTAATGTTTATTTCAAAATATTTTAGTTTTGATTCTTGAACTAGAAAGGGCCCTATATCTTTGAACAGGCTTTCAATATCAATATAATGATAAGGCAGGATATGGGTAGTTATGGTTGTTGTACATATGGCAGGGTATGGGTATTGATGGGTGTCATACATGAGGCAGTGTAGTGATGGCTGGTGATTGAGCCAGGATATGCTTGCTCTTTCCTGTATACCAATGCCTCAATTCAGGAGTTTATATAGTTAAGAATTTTAGAATAAATAATATGATTTTAGTCAGGAACTATTGAAGAAGTGGTCTACCTGATATTTTGAATTTTGTGCCAGAAATATATTAATGCCATTGGTCTTAATAAAAACACACAAAAAGACAAATATGTGCTTGATAAAGTGACAGGCATTTAGCTGGTCTCCAGCAGCATTTTGCTGGTAATTTCAGTGTGATAAAACCAGTATTTAGCTGTTAACTTCAGTGTGATAACTTGATAGTGATAACCATGGTAACTTTAGTGTGATGGACACCTGTATTTAGTATAATTGTATTCATTTTTCTATATTTCAGCATATAGAAGATTGTTTACTAGAAGATGATAGTATTGTATATAAAGATATAATAACCAGGTTATTACGATTTCTACACAGTAGAACAGATATTGTGTAAGTATTAATTATCTTATAGTTATTATGATATCTACACAGTAGAACAGATATTGTGTAAGGATTATCTTGGAGTTATAACGATTTTTACACAGTAGAACAGATATGTAAGTATTAATTGTCTTAGAGTTATTACGATATCTACACAGTAGAACAGATATTTTGTAAGGATTAATTATCTTATAGTGGGCCAAGTAGTAATGGCTGGTGTTTTAACATCTGCTTTCCCAATAGTGATATTTCTGAACCTTGCAATTCCATTTTAAAGTATATTAGGTTTGTTTGAAATGTTACTAATAGAAGCTCTGTGCCCTCTGGATAGTTTTCTTCTGATTGGATCATCATGAATCAAGGTTAAAGACAAAACATGTTCATTTTTGATAAATTGTTTCAATGGCATTTAGTAATGTCCATTGCTTGATAAAGACTAGAGAAGACTAGTCCAAACATCATCCAGTAATAAGCAGCAATTGTATTCCATAGAATTGTGACCTGTATATTTCTGCAGGCTAGGACCTCTCTATAAAATAAGGCAAATAAATTTCACCAAACCAATAAGGTGGCAGCTTGGTGGTCTCCCGAAAAATATGCCACTCACCCACTGTCCTCAACAATGCAGGTGTAATTAAGGTGCTTTGTAGTTTTATATTAAATTGATTGTTTATCGAAATTGGAATTTATTATATTTTTTCAGTATTGATAATTATGAATTACATCTGACAGAATTTGTTAGTGGCAAAGATATCAATCAAAATCTACTTAAATCAGGAAATATTAAACAAAGTACTCCTGAAGAAAAGGTAAGCAGATGATGATGATAATAATAATGGCACTTTCATTATCTATAAGAAATTGGAACAAAGATAAAATAGCCATATTCTTTTTAAAAAAAATATCTTGCTACGGCCACATCAGTTTGAACTTCTATTAAAATTTTGTATCCTATTTCTTCCGGGGAAAAAATTAATTTAGAAACCAAAAATACTTGACTGCTGACTTTCAAAAACTTTTTTTTCCATATCTTCATGTTTTATCATTATAAATAAAACATCGGCCATGAGAGTCGAGTGGCTATATATTTATCAAGAACCTTAAAAACTGAAAATTAATTTGCCTTGGCCGAATTTCATGGAAACGAAATACTTTGAAAACTGACCGTCTAGCAATTTTTGAAGTTGAAGCCTTGGTGAATACAAAAATTATCATTGATAATAAAAAACAGAGCTTTTTTTTGTATGATATCTAAACTAAGTCATTGCTGAACTCTATATGTTTTTGTTTTTGACAGCTATTGCTTCTAAAATCATTAATAGATGAAACTCTTAGCCAGAAGGCTGAGGAGTTAGATGATTTCTTAAATGATAACTTCAGCCCTGATGATCTGGTAAGTTAAACTTTGAAGTATAGATTATCCAGCCATTTATGGACAAATATCGCTGATTTATGTGAGCTTTAGGATACACGTTTTTCTTATAGGTTTAGGGAACAACAGGATTTATTCTATTCAAATCAGTTTTATTTGAATCTTGAGATTTATTTGAATTCTGAACAATCCCTGACACATTCCAGGAGTCATTTTTTCTGAGACTAACAAGTTTTATTTTATTGATATGCAGATTACATTGGACTAAAATAATCCTTTGTATTTATGATCTTTAATCAGATAAAATGTGATAAAGACTCGAGGGGTGAGGGGGTGGGCATGGATGGGATAAGAATTGGTCAAAATAAGCCCACCCCCTCTTTGACCTTTTTCAATATAAAACCTTTAACACTGAACCAAGGCCACACACAACAACAACCACTTATGGCATAATCCTTTAACTTTTGATTGCCTAACTTTATCAAATATTTTAATTCAGAACATATTTCATATGTTTCTACATTTTCTAACCTCAGAGGCTCCTATGTTTGATTTCGAATTTTAGATTAAGTTTATATGTACTGTATCTGGGAAACATGAAAACAAACGGTGGAACCTTCAGAGTTTATTTGCTTCAATATGACAAAAATTGTGGTTTGTTGAGACAGCTTAGATAAATTAACTAACAAGTTGAACATGAATCAAAAAAAAAGCAAGTTGTACATGCAACCCATTTAAATTATGTTTAGTTTTTACTAGTTTTTCCCTCCTTTTCTGTGGTACAAAACAATCAAGTCTGTGTAAAAATTCTTCAAGTGAGGATTTGAATAAAACCTGTATGACAAACAATGTGGCTATGAGCATACATTTAACTATTTGCGGTGATGGATGGAGTGAATCTAGTGTATATTTAATTGACACAATGCACAGTTAGTCTCGGAACTCCTACAAAACACACATGTTTGTATGTATATTGTTTAGAACTTGTACAGAAAGTGATTGTATTAATTTATTTATATTGCTGGTATTGTTCTTGACCTGTTATTGTTTATGTGAGGCTATTGTTTAACGATGTTTTACCTACCTGTAGTTAAATCTGCAAATTGTATTTACTCTGTTCGTTTTGCACTTTTACGATAAACTAGGGCTAAATATACAAAATCATTCAATTTAATGACATCTTTTATCAGCTTGTAGTTAAAGAGAAATTTTATTTATTTTTTGTGCACTTTAATGTTAAAGTCATCCTCGGTATCCCCAGTGGTCTCATTCCGTTCTACTCCACTATACCCTGGACTCATCCATGGGATATTCACGTATTCAAATTATCTGCCCTTGATCGTAACTTGATTCTATGAACCAACAAAAAAATAGTTTACAAACCAGTCTTAGCCTCATTGCTTACGTTCACAACAATATGGTGGCTTGTTTGTTGCAACAAGATGAGAGTTACTTCCCTTTGCCAACTTCCTGTATTTAACGTTTTTTTTGATTGGTTGTTAAAAATAGCACAGTCATCAAGGGAAGGTAATCCAGGGTCTAGTGGAGTGGAACGGAATGAGACCACTGGGGATACTGATGATGGGCTAAAGTATGAGTAGAAACCTACTTCTGTTAATCAGTGATTGAAAATATATTAACAAAATCGTTCAATTTAATGACATCTTTTACCCAGCTGTTGTCGAAACTGAAATTGTACATGTATTTACTTTGTTTGTTGTGCATCTTAAGTTTAAAGTACGACAAGAATCCTAATTGAATGTATATTCTTATAACCATCATCATTAACAGAACCATTCAATTTTCTTCACTAATTAATCAATACTGATCCATTAGCATTGTTTTGTGAAGAGAAGAAACCAGACTTGAAATTCTTGGGAACTTTCTCATGCAACATTGGGATAGGACCTTGGACGTCCTGATTAATGGGCCAATACCGTTAGAACATTTAACCACAAGAGAGAGAGAGAGAAATGGGGTTTAACGTCCACTCGACACAAACTAGGTCATTTTTGGACTAACATATGGTTTAATTTTATTTACATAATTCGCTTGCGCGTAGGGGTCTTTAGCAGTGGGAGGAAACCGGAGGACCCGGAGAAAACCCACAAGGTTGGACAGGCGACCCTACTCCTTGCCACGTACAACCGGGGATTCGAAACCACGCCAGTCGCCTCAATGACAGACTGTATGATACAGCGCGCGCACGCTAACCATTCAGCCATCTAACCCCCCTATTTAACCACAAACGTTAATATGCTGTTGATTCAACAGTGGAACAACGTTTAATAAGGTGGAAAATCCTGTCTAATTCATTAACATATTACATCATGCAGCAAAAAAATAAACACTATATATCATATTTACAATAATGCTTATTTCCCAAATGAGTTTGGGGGGATGGATGGTCGAGTGCATTAAATCATAAGGTCATAAGATTCCCCGTTTGTACCTGACAAGGAGTAACATCCCCTGTCCAACCTCGTGGGTTTTTTCCAGGTCCTCCAACTTGCTCCCACTTCTAAAGACCCCAACAGGCAAGCGAATTATTGAAATAAAATTGAAGCATGTGTTTGTCCCGAATTGACCTAGTTTGTGTCGAGTGGACGTTAAACCACATTTCTCTCTCTCCACGAAAGTATTGTCAGTAAAAAATTTTTTCTTTTTTATCAAAATGTTCAATAAATTTATCAAAATGTTCAAAAAATTTATCAAAATGTTCAATAAATTTATCAATTTGTTTAATAAATTTATCAAAATGTTCAATAAATTTATCAAAATTGTAAGTAAATTGTGGTTTTCTAATTGAAATGGGGCTTTGTCCATCCTTCTGTCCCAATTTTGTTCCCAGAGCATATCTCATAAACTGTTAAAAAAAGAATTAATAAAACATTGTACACACATCAAGTGATTATAGTAGTTGTACTTTGTGCTAATTAGAAGTTTTCTCAGATTTAATCACTTCTTTTGTTTCCATGGAAACAAATTTGACTTTGTTTTTAATGCATAAGGGCATAGAATAGTGAATTTACTATTTTACTATCCTATTTATTTAAATAAAAAAAAGTTTCCACTCCATGTAGATCTATGATATGTTTTAGCAAATGAAATTGACATCTGCAGTAGTCATGTTTTCCAAAAAAAACACTCCAACCTAGTGGGTTTTCCCTGGGTCCTTCAGTTTCATCCCACTGCTAAAGACCCCCACGCGCAAGCCAATTATTGAAATAAAATTGAACCATATGTTAGTTCCGAAATTACCTAGTTTGTGTTGAGTAGACGTTGAACCCCATTTCTCTCTCTCACTCTCCCAAAAGAAACAGCAATATTTTATCTCCAATTGTCCAGTACCCATTTTGATCAATAGGGTATGTAAAACTAAGGAATGAAAAGTGTATTGAAGAAAGCAAAAAATCTATTTTCAAGGGAATTTCAATCTGTCAAATATAATCATTTGGATAATGGAGACATGCAGAGTTGTTTCCCCTTAAGAGGCTATTGACGGCTAAGTGAAGAGGGAGTTTGTGGCAAGTAGTTTGGTATCAAGAAACGATAGCACTACATAACAGTATTGATCTGCCTATTATCAGCTGAACAGTCGGCTCCTGCCAGCGGAAAATAATACTATTTGCTCACAATCTTTCTGCTTGGGTGTTTCTGATAAACAGAAGGCAGGTTTCGATGTAATAAGATTTCATCCATGTTATAGTGGAAGTGAAGTGACTTGTCTTTTGGTGTTTATTTATCGTCGGGTGGTACCGTAGTCAGTTGTTATAAGGTAGGTTTTTTTTCTCCCTCTCTTGTTTTCAATGTATTATCAGATAATTCACACAGACTGTTAATATCGATAGCGTGTCGACTACTCGATGATTATGATTTTGTGTTTGGCTAGGGTTTAAATTGACGGGTCTTTATTAAAGCTATCACTGCTCTTGTCTATTGACAGCTTGGTGGTTACGTCTTCACGCTTCAATGAATCTCTCAACCATGCAATATCAACTGTCATTTCGAGCCCGGCTATTATCAGTATTGGAGCCCGAAGATAAGTTCGGTATAAGATTAGCTCATTTTCGACTTTTGGTATTAACAAATCAATAAACTATTGGATATTGTTGTTCGACTTGTATTTGCCTCCGAGCTAGTATCATTGAGTGTAAATTGTGTTTTCATATATGTACATCTTGAGGCTTAGATATTCTATCAGACGTCAAATAATTAGATTGGTATTCGCCAAGAATTGATGGGTTGAATATGAAGATAAAAAGATAAATAAGTGAAAGGATAATTTTTTGATTTTTATATGTTTTTGTGTCATGATTGAAAAATGTTGTTAAGTGAACAAAAAACAACAAAAATGAGTCTGGATTGAATAATTTTGTTAAACAAACAAGCTTGTATTTTTTTTTACAAAAAAGAATATGGATGTTACATAAGAGAGAGAAATGGGGTTTAACGTCCACTCGACACAGATTATGTCATTTCAGGACTAACTTATGGTTAAATTTTATTTCAATGATTCAGGAAAGGCAACCTTACTCCTTGTCACGTATAACCGGGGATTCGAAACACGCTAGTTGACTCAATGACAGGCCTTATGATACAGCGCACACGTGTTACCATTCGGCCATCCACCCCCCCTTACAGAAGAGAACAAAATAAGAATTTAAGACAAATATGTAGAGAACTGAAATGTAAGTCCAGATGATGGGTGTCATGCCTGAAGCAGGTTATTCATACTTTATTTAAGCAATCGATTTTATCAATCTTTTGGTTTAAACAATATATTTTTTGAAAATAATTACAAATAACCTGACAGGGGTAATAGTCTAAAGGATACAAAAACAAGAAAAATGTTTATAGATATCACTTCCTGATATGGCTGTTAATATAGAAGTGAGAATGCATTAATAGGTAGTAGGTGGAACTTTTATACTAAATAATACTAAGAACTAAAATAAAGTTAACTCAAAATAAGAATGAATAGTTGGTGACGGAGCTCTTATTTCAGCCATATTTACCAG